TCCTCCCAGGCGGTTTGTGCATCACGTTTGGGGGGCTGGGAGCTGCAAAGGGAGCTCAGGGAAGGTGGAGCAAGAGCTGCTAGGGTCCAACCCAGCTGCACCCCATTGATAGCCCCAGTGCTGCTCCCTGTTGTTTTGTGCTGTGCTGAAATGCACCCTGCTTAGCAGAGGGATTTGAGCAAGATGCTCTTTCTTGCCTGCCCTCTGGGGAGAAATGTGACTCTTATGGCTGAGGAGGGGACAGGCATCTCCTGTGGGGTCTCTGGGGCTGTGCAGGGCTGGGCTGTGCACCCGGGAGCTCTGTTTCTTCTCCCCTTCAGACAGGGAGGAGATTCTGCTGCTTCATGCTGCCACTTCACCCACACCCTGCACCCCCTCACAGCAGGGCTGCCCCAGGAGAGCTGGGAGGACCCCCACCTCACTTCTGCACTCAGGAACAGGACTGGGAGAGACCCTCCACACAGAGGGGGGCATATGGTATGGATTGAATCCCTGAGGGAAGAGGCTGGGCTCCCTGCTCACAGAAGGATGACTCGCCTCCCTGCACCTGCATGGCTCCTGGCTAACAGACACCCTGGCTTGTTACAGCTCCAGCTGACAGTCCAGCTACTGGACGCTCTGGGTAAGAGATGCTCCTGGTTCTCACAGCTCCAGGTATTTGAAACTCCAAGTTATTTCAGCTCCTGCTCCAAATCACGGCTCTGATGCACAGTTGGGATGAGATGCTCCACTTCTGGCTAATAGACACTCCAGCTATACTGCAGCTCCAACAGATGGACGCTTGGGCTTCTCTGAGTTTCAGGTAATTCCAGCTCCAGCTTCTGCTCCTGGATACTCCAGACACGAGGTGCTCCTGCTTGTGACAGCTTTGGCTGATGGACACTTGTGCTTCAAGTAATTTCAGCTCCAGACAGTGGATGTTCTAGCTCAGGTTATTTGAAGCCCCAAGTTATTTTAGCTCCAGCTACTGCCCATGCTGGAGAAAAGACACTCCTGCTGCTTCCAGCTCTGGATTGTAGAAGCTCCTTCCTGTTACAAGCTAACTGAAGCTCCACGCAATTACAGCTCTGGTTTAACTGCTCCATCTTGTTAAAAGCTAAATAAAGCAGCCTGGACTTTTGGCAAGATTGTAAACCAATCATTGTCATAACTTGAATGTTACTGTCAATTGTACATTGTCTAAATATTGTTTATTTAGTAACTATTCTGGTGGTTGTACAAGCCTTGCCTAAAAACTTGGGGAAAAAAGCACCTTTACCCCCAGAGACTAGCTCAGATATTGAGTTCAGCCTTGTGCATGCCAGCTTTCCTAACTTCAGAGACCAATATGACCAGACCCCCAGTTCCGGGGGGGGGGGGCCACACACCCTGCCCCCAATGCCCTCCCATTCCACCCCCCCCCCGCGCCTCCATTTTGGGGGCTGAAAACTGCCAACTGAGCCTCCGTTTCCAAGTC